TGTTATGTACACTCCCATTAGCATGAAACTGTTGAATTCACGGGGAGAATAAAATGCTTTGCAGTTGATAACAAGAGTCTCTAGGTCTGCGGTACATGTCTTCCGTAGCACTGTGATATCTGTGCACCAACCTTCACTTATGTAGAAGCACATTCCACCTCCTCTCGTTTTCCCGGACAGCTCCTTTACACGGTCCGCTCTGTACACCTGGAAACCCGTTATTCGAATCACGCTGTCCGCGATCGAGTCGCTGAGCCAGGTCTCCGTGAAGCACAAAGCAGCAGAGCGTGCAAAGTCAGAGTTAGTCCTGTTGACGAGAAGAATTTCATCTATTTTGTTGACCAGGGAGCGGAGATTAGCCAGGTGAATAGATGGGAGTGCGGTCCGAGTTTCCCTCTGTCGTAACCGCACCAAAGCACCAGAGCGTTTTCCACGCCGGTGGCGTCTTTTCCAGGTCCCGTATATCACTGCTGCGCCTCTGATCAGAATGTCCATACAGCATTCATCGTTCACAAAAATCGGAGGAAGGTAGTTTGGTGTGAGTTGTCCGATATTTAACAGTTCTTCTCTGGTAAAAGTGTGCTGTTTCTGTCGTCTGTCACTCGGATTGCATCAGGTCTACTAATGTACGATCGTGCCGCCCTTCTTAATATTCGTTCGTTTGTGGAAAAGTGTCCCAGTGTAACGGGCTGGGATAGCTCAAAGACTGTCCCACCATTACTGGCGAAGATACCAGCATATCTTCGGCGTTCTTACTTCGTCTGCTCACAAAGGAAGCATACCAGAAAACAAGGGAAGAGGAGTGGGGTGGCTGTCTGCCTAAAGGCCCTCTGGTGCTCTGCTTTTGCGGATGCCTCTGACCCCCGGCTGGTGGTGTTGTCGTCCTAGCATGATTCGCTGGCCTGGCTTCATTTGTAGTTGGCCTCGGCCCATAGGCCTGGATTTCTCGGCCCCTCATCCATATCGCCAACTTTCACAACATCCGAAAAGGGGTGTAAATAGGTCTAATCTCCGACCGCTGAGACGTGTGTGTCAGCCACCAAACCCTGTTTTATTGATTCAGATGGGTTTGATTAATGTTAGATCGTTGACTAACAAGACATTCATTCTGGCCTTGTGCACCTCTAACAGAAACTGGCTTGAGGATCTGAGTAATCTAGTCGGTTCGTGCCACCTCACCAACTCAGCGAGTGACTTTTTTATATCACAGAAACTGGATTTCATGTTGCTGACTGAGACGTGGTTAACGGAAGGTGAGCATTGCGCATTTTCTGAGCTTCTTCCACCTGGTTGTTCCTTCCTCAGCTCCCCTCGTACGACAGGTCGGGGTGGTGGCCTGGCATGTGATTTTAAAAACAGCTTTCAATCTTGGCAGCTGACAGTGGACACTTATTCAAGTTTTGAACTACAGCTGTTTGTGATAGAACTTTCTCAACCATGTTAGAAATTAACCCAATTTTTTTGTTGGAAGCACGAGAAGTGACGACAGGAGAGGACTGTTTAAAATCAACAGAAAGTTTACTGAATGTCTGATCACAGGTAGGCCTTACAGTGCTGGGATCAGAGAGATAGAGCTCCCGCAGGAGTTCCATCCACTGACACCCTGTTTTATCCATTCAGATGGGTTTGATTAACGTTGGCTAACAAGACATTCATTTTGAATGACTTTTTATATCACGGAAATTGGATTTCATGTTGCTGACTGAGACTTGGTTAAAGGAAGGTGAGCATTGTGCATTCTCTGAGCTTCTTCTACCTGGCTGTTCTTTCCTCAGCTCCCCTTGTACGACAGGTCGGGGCGGTGGCCTGGCATGTGTTTTTAAAAACAGTTTTCAATGTCGGCAGCTGACAGTGGACACTTATTCAAGTTTTGAACTACAGCTGTTTGTGATAGAACTTTCTCAACCATGTTAGAAATTAACCCAATTTTTTTGTTGGAAGCACGAGAAGTGACTACAGGAGAGGACTGTTTAAAATCAGCAGAAAGTTTACTGAATGTCTGATCACAGGTAGGCCTTACAGTGCTGGGGTCAGAGGGATAGAGCTCTCGCAGGAGTTCCATCCACTGACCCCAAATTAAGGTCTTACAATACATTTTATCTTCTTGGGCTGCTCCGACATGAGCTCGGACATACTGTACACTGGACCTCGTGATTTCTCATGGGCTGCCTGTTGCCATTACTGAAGTATGCGGCTCTCGATTTTCCGATTATTTCCCTCTCTTATTTAATATTAATGTGCCTCCACAGTCCGATAAACCCTCTGTTCCTGCTGGTATCAGACGCTCAATCACCTCTTCAACAGCAGGAGAGTTTTCTACTTGCTTCAAAAATTCTGGTCTGTATCTGATGGGTGATGTGTCCTCCTACATGGATCCTGAGGAAGTATTGACTCTAACCTCCACCTGTCAGGATATATTGGATTCTATAGCTCCCCTCCGATGTAGACCAGCTAAGTTGAAGGTGGAACCTTGGCTAAATGACTTAACTCGAGAACATAGATGAAGATGTCGTAAAGCTGAACGTAAATGGAAGAAGGACAAACTTTATGTTTCTCTTTGCCATTTCAGGGACTGCTTGTCGGACTATCAGAAGGTGGTGAAATCTGCAAAATCGAATTATCTTTCTAACATTGTGGTCAGAAATCGTCACAAACCTCAGGTTTTGTTCTCTACAATCAACTCTGTTATTAGCCCATGTAACCTTACCTCTCATCCTGAGGTATCTGTCGAAATATGTGAGGGTTTTCTACATTTTTTCACTAACAAAATTGCTAGCATTAGGCGATTCTCCACTATCACTTCTACTGACTCAGTTGACTTTCCCCTGCCTTCTGCTATTTTTGACCAATTTGAGACTTTCTTTGCCTGTGTTATCAGACGTGGTTTTA